GAAAGCAAGTGAAGTAAAGCTTTTTAGAGAAAAGAACACTTCATCATACTTATAAAACCAAAGGTTCTGAGCTGTTAGCTAACCTCAAAGTGGAAGTGATTCAAGTTATTAGCCCCATCTAGTAATGCTCTTTAACAACTAACAATTATCAATAAAATATTGAGTAATAATATATTATTTGAGCACTATATGCCAGGTGCTGAGCTATTTATTTCATGTGTATTACTTTACTTAAACTCTTAGTAACCTCTTGTTCTTTTTGTTTTATGAAATACGAGAAATGTGAAGGTCAGAGTGACATCAGTGATTCAAGCCCAAGGCAGTCTGATGTCAAAGCTCAGACCTTTACCTACTATGTTACACTGCCCTGAACTGAACATCTTCTACTCTGGAACAAATCTGCATCTTTGTTCCTGAAATAGTGTCAGAATCGAGGGAGACGTGCCAGAATAAGAATAAATCTAGGGCAGGGCTACTAAAATTGTCAAGGCTATGGTATATGAGGGTACGCTTTTAAAAAATAATTGTGGGTTCAAGATACAAACTATAGAAAACATGAGTGGCTCACAAAATCCTGGAAGTCTAGATCTATTGACTAGCATAACTTTCTTAAAGAAGGAGGGCACATGAGGGAGAATGCTCTTGACCACATGAGTAAAAAATCTCAAAGATTTGCTATTTTTAAGATGAAGATAGAAATATCAAGACTATAAAGACCCTTGCCTCATGTTTTCTGCCTCTTCCTCTACTTTCCTGAGTCCTTCAGGTCCTCCTTACTGGCAGCCACAATATATCTGAGACCTTAGCCCCATCATCTGGTAACAAATTACCTTGGCATCCTCTCAAAACAGTATCAATATAATGAGCCTTTCCTAGGTACCTTTTTTTTTTTTTTTTTTTTTTTTTAATTTAGACCCTGGATTTACTACCTCTAGGGATTAACCTTGGGGTATTTTGTTGCTTCCTCAAGCCATATATCTCTCCTTGACTTCTCTCAGTCCATACAACGGGGATTTGCTGTGCTTCTTTATTTAGAATATTAGCAGTTACCGTTCTCATTTCCCTTTTTGTTCCCACTAAAACCTTGCTAAGGGACAGTCCTGTTTCCCAAAATGAAATCCTTGTCTCCTACTCAACACCAGTGTCTGTCTCAGTTCTGCTGTTTATGAACAAGTGTCCCCTACCTGCTTCCTGGAAATGACCAGACCTAGAATCCCCAATACTATGCTTTGTCTCTCAGAAGGTAAATCATGTCTTACTGTCTGAAACTGTCAATTCTAGGTGATGCTCCTTAGATTTCTAAGCTTGCATCCTGAAAGCTATTACTAAGTAGGAAAAAATAAAACTAGGTGGAAAGGCACTTGGCTAGAGGAAACTTACCAGGACAGAAGATTTTGTACCCTACAGGAATGGTTCCATTTTAGGGTTTAATCAGAGTGGATTAGCTTTCAAGAGAACTGGTCCATTGGACAGAGGTTGAGGGAGTGATAGTATGGGGTCTCAGGTGCATGTCTGAGCCACAGAACAATAGAGTTTGCCCTAACAGGTTTTGGAAATGTCAGAAATAGATTTAGCCTCAGGATAAAAGGATTAGGCCAGGGGTACATATACACAGACAAGAAAGGTATGATTCAGGGTGGGTTATAGTCCCAATAAGCTGTGATATAAACCAGGAATCTGTGACCAAGAAGACTACAGCACGCACAAAGAAGTGTGGGGCAACAGGTTAGGGTGTACAATTTCTGAGAGATTACCTATGTACTCCTGATGATTTCTACATTCTTGTTTGGTTTTATAAACAGGGCAGGGAATAGCGTATACGTGATTTAAAAGGGCCAGTGGAGGAAACAGGGAGTAACCATAGATAACATACAAGGCCTTGTATTGGCTTTGTGGGAAGAAGCTAGATTAGAAAGAAAGGGCAGATTTGCGCTAATATTCCAATTTTTCCCTACTCAGCTGTATCTCCAGAGTTACTAGTTTTTCTTCTTTCTGTCCCACTATCTTGGTGTATCTTGTCCCGAGCCCTGACTCCCTCTATGACATTGCCTCTCTGATGCAACCTAGGTTGGAATGTCATGCTCATACTGGAAAATGGAGATGGAAATTAAACAGAAACCATAGTCAATAAAACTATAACACATTGTTAAGGTAATTAGGGTTGTCAGAGGGGAGCCCCTAAATTTTCATGGCCCTGTAATTGCAAATGATAAAGTGTTCATTGCTCTTCTTGTTAGAGACAGAAGAATACTCTTGAGTGGGCCCTGGCAGTAATATAATGTGGGATTCCTTTGGGCTCGAAGCAACATCTATATCCACAATGCAAAATCCAAGAAGCTAGCATTCCATAGGTTATTTATACTGCTCCTATAGGAAACTGCTCTAAGTGGGCTACACAGAGTGTCCTGGGTCCGATTTCATTATAGCTCTTGGGCCTGTCTTCTAGAGCTCCTCTCCTCTAATAAACCATCTCCCTTCCCATCCTCAAGCCTCAGCTCAGGCTCACCACCTGGAGGCCTTCAGTAGCTAGTGCTAGGTGTGGCTGAATACATCAGGCCTGTTTGGTCAGAGCAGATATAAAATGCTGAATATCAAAAATAAAAATAAACTTATAAAATAATACCTTGATTGGTTGAACTGGCCTTTTTTTCCATAAATTATCTATCCAGGATTTTCATAGGAACAAAAACCCCTATATTAAATCCAGTGCAATTTTTTATTTTTACTGTCATGTTAACTGAATTAATGGTTGCACATAGAGTTTGCCACCCTATGCCCTAGGACTTTGTTGACTTATATAAAAGTTATCGTGTCAACAGAGATAGTAGTGCATGTGTTGACCAACACACTCTGTCCACTAGATTGTCTGTTTCTTAAAGTAAGGGATTCTGTCTGACATATTTTTGAATGTCCAATATCCAGAATTAGGCCTTGCCCAGAGTAGATACACCTGGCTGTTTCCTCAACTGAAATAAATTCCACAATGTCCAGGTTCTTTCCAAGCTCTGAATAGTTCATTCAGAAACTGCTGAGGGTTCCATGGGTGTAGGGTCCTTCCCTAGACAGAGGTGTGCACTACGTGGAAAATAGAGGCCCTGACTCCCTGAAGCTAACGTCCTAATGTTGAAAGTTAAGGAAAATAATCCCCATTAGGGATAGTCACTTAGTCTGGATTCCTTTGCAAATGTGATACACTGACATTCTGGGATATTAAGATATTTCAGTCTAGAGTCCTGCAAACACTCAAAGAGCAAATGATTCAATATGAGTCCCCCCACCCCTAAAAAAAAGGGATAGTGCCAACATGCAGGTGAAATACTACTTCAGAACATGAGCAGCTAAAATCTGCAAGTGTCTCATGGACAATATACATTGTGAGCTGCTGTCTGAGAGTTGCAGTTTACTGCCCCTTGAAGCTGCTATGCTGTACTATGCAGGAATGATTTTTTTTTTAAAGACAGATCTTCAGAAATTTAAGACAATTCCCACCCCCACCCTCCCCATACAAGTGGCCAGTGAGTGAACATCACTCATTCTTTTCAGAAGTGCCACACATTGAATTTTGCTTCTAAAATGACACTTAATTCCATCCATGTGAAAGTGGCATTTCATAAGGAAGGGGTCCTCAACACTCAGTGAAGTGTCCATTGGGACGCTTTCACCATCCCATTCTTGGAACCTATTCTTGGTTCCTCCTATCTTGGAAATCCAGAGGGTAAGCAGTAGATCCCACCCTACAAAGATGATATACATAATTCACCTAAGTGAGATAAAGGACCTTGGTGGAAACAACGGGGACTATTCATTTTCTCTTGCTTGGAGTTCCCTCCCCACAGCAGAAGTAGCAGGGGGAGAGGGAACTGCAGCACTAATCTATTATGGGAGCAGATAAATGAATACTATGCTCCAGATTTTTCATAGCAATTACTTTTGTAACACACGTATAAATGCACGTTTGTAGCTATTTTTATCACTTCCCTATCCATATGCTGTTCGAATAGTGAAGAATATATTCAAGAAAGTGAATTGCACGCAGGAAGCATTAATTATTGTGGTTATAGAAGCAAATCACAAATCACTACTATATTCCCAGTTTTTCCCTATTAAAATTGGGCTAAGTATTTCTACACTTGCTCCAAAGTAAAGATGCCTCGAGTTTTCGAATCCTTTTGTAACTGTATTTCTTAAGCTCCCCAAATATCAGAGCTAGCTAGCTAGCTCTGCCCCTGTGAGACACTGTCTTTCACAAAAGAGAAAAGATTTTCAAAGCAGTTAACTTTAGTAGGAGACACTGCATATTAAATAAACTAAGCTCTGAACTCCCAGTGTCTCCTCTCCTAGAGAGGAGAGGCATTTCATTGCCGCGCTGACCACAATTCCATTTAAAAAGGACGGAAATGGGGAAGAAACTGTGCCATTTCTAAGTGCCCTGGCCTGTTCTGCCCTTTAGTCAAGTAGAACGGGTCCTGGAAGACCTTGGGCGACGGGGAGGAGACGGTGTGTGCTGTAATTACCCTGGTCTAGGGTGGCAGCCGGCCCTTCGGCGTGCAAGCGCAAACAGCGGCGTCGGGCATGATAACGGTGGTCCGCCGCCGCGGAGCTCCCAGGGAGTCGGGGGAGGGCCTTGGCGGGGAAAGCTGGAGGCCGGATGCCGCCGGCCTCGCGGAGCCTCTTGGCGCTGTCCATACTGATGAGCTCCTCGGCTGACACAGGCAGGCAGAGCGAAGGCGGAGCAGAGGAGGCAGAGGAGGCGCGGAGGCAGGCGGCAGAGCCGCGCACCCGGCTTTGACGTCGCCCAGCTGCGGCTAGCAGCTCGCGCTCTCAGCACGTAGCGCACAACGTGACCACACACAGCCTCCCTCTCTGGCAGCCCGGCAGCCCGTCCGCCCGCTCTCGGCTTCGCCTTCGCCCTCCTCCTCCTCCTCCTCCTCCTCTCGCCTCCGCGGCGCGCACCCCCGCGCACAGCCAGGGATTCCGGCCGGCGTCGAGCCCTGGGCGCTCCGCCGCCTGGCCCGACACCTCTGCCGCAGCTGGGGCCCGAGCGGCGGCCACGCAGCCGGGTGTCCTCTTCAGGCGGCCGCTCCCGCGTTCACCTCTGGATGCCAGCACTACGTTAGCCCAGGCGGGGAACCCCTTCTGCGGCTCCCTGCTCTAAACTCCCGCCTGTCCCGACCGCCCCCACCCCTCCACCTGGCGGGGGCGGCGCGGAAGCGAAGAGGACGCGCGCGGTGCCGGTGGGCACGCGTAGACGTGTGTGCGGATCCGGTCTCGGCTTGGCATTCTCCCTCCCTTGCAAGTGGCGGTGCCTGGACTCTGCTTTCGGCTCCCGGAATCGGTGCGGCCGCCCGGAGCCCTCTCTTCGCTGGCGGGGCACTAAAGGCTATTTTGGAGAACGGTGGTGGCGGCGGCGGCGGCGGCGGCTGAGACTGGTGCCCGAGAGAGCTCCAGACGCACACTCTGCTCCTCTTCGGTCCCTCTCCTCCTTCTCCCTCCACCCCCCTCCCTTCCCTGCCTCCCCACCCCCGTCCCCCTGGCCCCACTCCTCCTCTTCCTCCTCCTCCTCTTCCTCCTCTCCCCGCTCGGAGATGCGAGCCTGTATCGTGTAACAGGATTGGCGTTGCAATGGCAACTGATGGAATGGGGGAAGGCAAGACAGCAGGGCTGGGGGCTCCGGACTGCGGGCGGGCGGGCCGCTGCCGCCGCTTGACGCTCCTCCGGGGACCTTCGCGAGTTACTTTGTAAAGGCGAATCCAGGCAAGGAAGCCCCTGCTCCGTGCCGCGAGTCAGAGGCCACTTCCTGCTCCGTGGCTGCCCGCGTCAGGCTTGCAGCGCTCGGCACCCCCGGCCCCTGGCCCGCGCCCGCCGCCAGCCCAGCGCGCCGCCGCCGCTGTCGCTGCGGAGACTCGAGCCCGCTACCCTGAAGAACACTTCGCCTCCCGGTCCCCTTCCCATCACGCCCCCTGCTCCTCCCCGGCGCCTGCGATTTTCCCAGGCGCCCGGTGTGAGTGCTGCGTGCCTGTGAGTGTGTGTCGGGGTATTGTGTTGTGGGAGTGTGTGTGTGCGTGTGTGTGTGTGTGTGTGCATGAGTGTGGGGTGTGCGGGGCTCCTGCGCTCCGCTCACGGCCGCCGCCGGAGAAGGACAGACGGACGGCGCTTCCTTCTTCGGCGAGCGGTTCCTGGGCACCTCGGCTCGGCCCGGGCGCGAGTGGAGCGCGCTCGGCTGGCCGCCGGCCTCCGGAAGGTCCCGCTGCATCCCCCCTGGGCTGGATATGTTCATGTTCACGTGAAGATGGATTTAGTGTACGGTCTCGTGTGGCTGCTGACAGTCCTCCTGGAAGGGATCTCTGGCCAAGGAGTATACGGTGAGTGCAATCGCGACGCTATCGTGACCTTGTGATTCTTGGGCAACATAGGCTGGCGAGCGAAAATGCACGACTCGCGCCGTTCCGGGGCCCCTCCCGGCGTGGTATTTGATTTACACTTCATCACGTTATTGGGAGCGGTGAGGAGGCAGCGAGCGCGCTGCGGGTTGGGTTGCGAGCCGCTCCCCCAGCGCCTCGGCTGGGGCTGGGAGTTGGGTCGAGCCGGCAACATTGCACTCTTGCGAACGAGTGGCTTTGCACTTGATTTATCCCCGCTGGGGAACGGAGCTCTAGCAGTCCTTGATTTAATAATGATTTGGCTCCTTGCATTGCCGCGGTGTCTGTGCCGTGGTTTCCCCCGAAGGGAAGCTCCGAATGTGACCCCAGTGAGCTCCCCATCCCTCTCCGTCTCCCGCCTCCTCCTTTTCTCCACCTTTTCCTTTTCCTTTTTTTTTTTCTTCTTCTTCTTGGTGAATGCTTACATGACTTCGTTTTCCGGCTCAGGAAGTGGGGTGACAGTTGAGTTGCGTTCTGCACCAGCGTTGCCATGAATACTGACTTGGGGAGGGGAAATAGCAAGCAAGATTCTCGGTGCCAGACACAATTAAGGGACATGTTTATGTGAATGGATGAGCAAATGCATGAATGAACGGATGGCCAAGTCTGCGCGTCTTGGCTCCGGGGCAGGACACCAGCTCGCTGCAACAGGAACACAACGACAGTTCTCTGGAAAACCCAGGTCTGGGCCGGTTAGGACCGAGAGAAGGGCGAGCTTGTTAATTTGGAGATTTTTAAGTCCTCAAGAGCAGATCTAGGTTCCTTTGCCTGTCAGCAGTTGGCACCCTTGGCTTTCGGGATTGAAAGATACACTCACTCACACACACACCCAGACTCTGGTTGAAAGGTGTCTCATTTCCTGGGACCAGCAGGCAGTGCCACAAAGGAAACATAACTTTTGTGATCTCAGAGGTATGGTAGGAAGGTTAAGAGAACAGCTATGGAGGGGACAGCGGCCAGCACTCTGCTACAACTCTCCTAGGGTCAGGGTGTGCTGGACACTCAACTGCTGCCTTTGGTATCACTCCAGGGTTTAGACCCCAGCACTGCACTGCTAGGTCAATGGCTGTCCCTGGGCAAAGGGCATGAGTGTTTGCAGAGGTTTCCCTGCAGACCCTGGAACTTACTGCAGAGTGGGTGCGGGTGCAAGGGGACTTTGAATACTTAAACTCTCTGGGAGCGTGGTGTGTGCCATGGGCAGGTGTGTGGGGAAGGAGGCAGGAGATCTGACCCAGCCTTTTTTTACTGTCTCTGCTGTGTTTTTCCTAGCTTGAGTGTTTGAGGCGGTGGTCAGGAGGGGGTTGGGAGGGGTGAGCTTTGGCCCTCCTGCGCTCCATCTGCCACTCTTCTTTCTTGTCTTCCTAGTTCCCTTTTTGGCTCAGGCCAGAAAAGTTTCACTTTCTCCTACCTCTGTGCATCTAAATTTCCCCTCTCTACCCAGCCCCTCTTTCCCAAAGGAAAGAGAACCCGCTTGAGGGGGTGGTGGTGATGATGGTGGTGTGTGTGTATGTTGAGAGAGATGTTGAAACTCCAGGCAGATCTTACTGCTTGGCTGACAGCAGGAGGTGGGGCCTTGAGGAGGGTAAGAATTCACTTACTGCTCTTTTGACTTCTGAACATCTTAGAGTGGCTGAGATTCTAGGGATAGAGGAATATTGGAGATAGAGCCTTATGAAGGAGCTGTTCCTTAACATGGGGGAGTCTGGATTCCTTTAATCCCATATCCAAGTCTTTATTTCTTTTTCATTTGTTCAGATCATTCCAGCTAAGAAGATTAAACAACAACTCTGTGTGTGTGTGTGTGTGTGTGTGTGTGTGTGTGTGTGTGTGTAGGAGATAATGAGAAGTTAGATTCAGGGATGGCAGGACATGCTGGAAGTGTCTGGATTAGAAAGGCATGGTACCATTTTCCTGTCACTTTTTGTCATTCGGATTATAAATCCTGGCACGGTTTCATTTTGGGCAGTGGAAGGGTAAGATCTAGGAGTGGGAACAAGTAGGAAACAGTTGCATTGAAATAATGCCCATAATGCTTAACAACAAAGGGGGATGCAGTTCTGCTACTGAACTAATCACTGTGATGAAGGTAGCGGTCTTTTTTTTTTTTTTTTTTTCTGTTTTCTTTTAATATTGGTGTGGCTATTAGGCATCTGGCTTGGATTAGAATGGGGTTTGTGTGAAAATTAATCCACATCCCTGGTCCTTATAAATGTTACAGCTACTAGGTGGGTGAAAAAATATATTTATGTATTAGTTTTTAAATATGTTTTAGCACAAGAGTTAGGTTCTCACAGTGGGAACCCCTAACCTTCAGCATCAGCCTCACCTGGAAACTTGTTAGAAATGCAAATTATCAGGCCCCTCCCAGACTTTCTAAATCAGAAATTCAGAGTGTGGGATCCAGCAATCTGTGTTCCTTACCTTAGGTGACAATTGTGATGTATGCTTAAGTCTGAGAAACACCGATAAGGACTTCAGATTTCATTGCTGTGACTGTGTAAATCATGACACCCTTCTTAACCTAAAGTAGTTTGAATTTTATTTGTCGAAATGTTTATAGTGAGTTTATGTAGGTATAAAATATTGGTCAGTTGTGGAAAGGACATAGACATAAGAGTTAGTGTAAGGTTATAAATTGTGTTTTGAACATATTATTTGAAGAACCATGAAAACGAATAAGTAAGAAAGCAGGGCAGTTATAAACAGAGACTTTAAAGATCTACATTGGAATTTCGCTACCATAAAAATCTGTGTCCCTTTATCCCTTTGTATTTGCTGATGTAAAACCATTCATGTTACACACAAAGTATTATTTCTTAATGTTTCCTTTTACTAGCTAAGTTAAAGGGGAAATAAAAATGGTCTTCTAGTTAATTCGGACAAAATTATTTCATTGCAGCCTCAAGTTAACTTCATGATTTAGAAATACGTCATTGCAACTTTTCTTTGAAATAGCTAGTCAGTCCCTTCCTTCATTCTTCCACTTCTTGGCTGGAAAACTCTGAGCGTGAAATTCCGGTTTTTTTTTAAGTAATTGAGAATATTTGTTTTAATGCACAGATTATATTGTTTTGAGTAACTATAATCTTATTCCTCTTGTGCACAATTAGCTTTGGCACCACGTTCAATACAAAGTGTGTTCTCTAGACCCAGGAACTTACTGTTATTTATCTTGGAATATTGTTTAGGAAACTTACTGCACAATAGCTGAGATTTGTGTATGTGTGGCATTTAGGTAAGGGAAATTATCCATCAGTTTATATCTGTCTGTCTATCCCCCATCAATAATTCTGATATCATTAAAAAAGACATTTAAAAACTGGCATTTTCCTGTATATCTCTTAACTGTCCCACACCAGAGATAGTATTACAGGGATATAAATTATTTGAAAACACTTCTGAAAGGAAAATTGGGAAAAAAATAATTCTTTATAACAAAGCAGCATTAAAAAAACATTCATGTAGACTTCCTAAGACAGCTGTTAAATATTTTGATGGATAATACTCATTTGGAGATATCTATATTTGTGTAGTTTTTAAAATCCATTTTCTTGAGTTACAGATTTGACTTTCTTGAATTTTAAAAAGTTATTTGTATTCAAAGTTTTTTCCTGAGAATACTCTTGGAATTTGAAAGTTTTGTTTTAGTTTTATTTTTACTTACACTGAAAACCAGAGTCCTTAAATGAACAGTGAAATGGTATCAACTTTTGGTATTATTTTGTTGGACTTCCTTTGTATTAGTTTTAGGATACCTGATTAAGCATAGCATCAAGGGTCATAATAAACCTCAGCTATATTTATACTTAACTGAAATACTTAGAGCCAAGCGATCAAAACATTTTCCTAGTTTTGAAAGTTTTCTTTGTAAGTTTTTGTGCAGTTTGGGCCGTTTTACTGTGTTTTCTAGAGATCTTAAATCTCTAGAATCATATATTGAGAATCCTATCTCCCATCGACTTCTCAGTTGTTTTGCTAAAAAAGAAAAAAAAAAAACTACTGTATTGCCACACACTGTATTTTTACTTCTGGCCTATCATGCCCTTAATTTCCAAGGAGACTCATAAAAGATTATAACTGCATTACCACAAGACAAATCTACAAGCGAAAAACAAAATAAAAGTCCATGTCTGAATGGTTTTTAATGGGAGCCAATCGACCAGTGAGTAGGTATCCTGAAATGGTTAATGCACCATCTATATAGTTCCCAGGATGTGCTGGAAATAATAAATAGAATAAGTTTATCAAACATATGTGTATGACAAATTAGCAAGCTATATTCACTCAATTCCAGTAATATCATATAATTTAGCAGTGACATTTTGTGTGGATAGGAAGGATCTGGAAGATAGTTCAGCCTGTCAGTAGGTCGAATCTGAATGGACAGATTGATCCAAAGGATAAGAGCGCTCTCGAACATCAGTTGACCATTGCATCCAGTCCCAGGATGTTGCCATCCTCATGGCAAAGTTATCCTGAGTGCATTGAATTGTGATTTTTGCCCATTTTGAGTTTGGAGAGGCCCTATGATCAGAGACTGCTTTTGGCTGAACACATATTTAGGGTGTCAGCCTATGGCAGGAGAGGGGGATATAACTTTAATAAATGTTGCTGAAAAAAATCAATCTACAGCTCTACCACATACAGCCAGCTCTTTCTCTGTTCCCACTCTTCGCCCCACTGTTCCTATATGCAATACACGTACACATAAACAGACTCATATTGTCACCACCTTGGCCACCATCATATCACCATCACCAAGAGTGGGCTGTCCTTTGTATCTTGGGATTATTTTTGTCCATTCAACGTTGAGAATTTGCATGCAAAGTGGGAAGATTATTTAAATAATATTACTTGCTCATGTCTTATAGATCCCTAGGAAAGTCCTTAAGTGGGCTATTAAGTATTTTAGATTGAGCAGGTTGTACATCAAGCCTAAGGAA